GGGGGGGGGGGGCGCTGAGCAGGTGGCTCCCACCAGCCGCTGAGATTGGTACCTGTGGTGCAGGTGGCACTGCAGGGCTCGTGGGACGAGAGCTTCCACCGGTACATGTCCGCTGGGCTCACGCCTTGTTTGCGCGCCTTGGGCCTCGTCCTGGAAGGGAGAAGCGGAGAAGGGCACAAGCGCTCACCGAGGGCTGTGGGCACGAGCTCTTGGGGAGCAGCGCGCCTGCCCCTGCCCCGGGGGAGGTCCCCACCATCAGGGTCAGCCCGCCCGCTGTCTAGAGCAGAGGACGGGAGGGGGCATCGCGGGGAGGCACGCTTTAGGACAGAACGGACGTCCGCCTTTCTCCCGCCTGGACGGGCGAGAGTCCGAGGCGGGCACCGGAGGTGCTGAAGGTCCTTCCGGGTGGGGGGTGAGCTCGGGGCCCCCCGGCATTGCCACTGCGCCCTGCACGCACGCACGCCACCTGCTAGCGGGGGCAGGCGACTCCTTCTCTCCGCTCCCCCAGGAGGGACCGCAGACGGCACCTTCTATGCCGAGAACCTGCCAGGACTCCCCTTGAGGCCCCCCTCAGCCCGACTCTGCTTGAACGGGGACACTGGCCATTCAGCCTCCAAGTGTCAAAACAGAAAAGCTCAGCGGCGGACAGGGGAGTGGTTGGTCCCCTCCAGACGCCTCTGCCCAGGTCTGTGATGGCTGCCGGTGCGGGGAAGGCGAGCTGGGCCCGCGCCAGCAACCAGCCATGATTCTCGGCCGGAGCGTGGGCGGCTGAAGCCAACTATTGTTAGGACCGTTTGCTTCTTTGAACCGGTTGGTGTGCTGGGGCCCAGCCTCAGTATCCAACATGCAGGCTGGGTTTGGACTCAGCAGGGGACGAAGGAAGGGGTCCTCCCAGATCCCCAGCCTCTGGTCTGAGATGCAGCCCCTCCCCCTACAACCCGAAGCCCCGCGACCTGCAGACGGGGACATGGGGTGATGGCCTGGCTGATGGGACACCATTCGAGGCCCCGGCATCCCTCTTGCACCGGACGCCGCCCCAGTGCCCGGCGAGGGGCCGGCTGGAGACCACCGGAGCTGACGCCCTTTCACAAGGCTTCCCCGTGGGCTCGTGCGCACGGGTCCCTCTCCGGGGACCTTGTGCCACCTCGGTGGTCGGGCTTAATGAATGCTGCAGGGCATCCACTCCGAAGGGCCTTCCAGTCGATTCCGCGATCCGGACATTGGTTTGGATCCCACTGGGAGCTCGCTCCGCGTCTGGGCTTCACAAGTGGACGAGCTCGGAGGTTTACTTCTGTAGGAACGTTTGTTGCCCCGAAGGTGCAACTTGCTCTAAACCAGGAAATGATCCGCCCACAGCCTTAAGTCCTGAGTCTACTGATGTGGCTACACAACCTAGGGAGCCGGAGATCTGGGAGGGGTGGAGGAAGAGAAAGCAGGGGCCGGGGGGAGCAGGCCATGAGCTGGTGGCCGGTTTCAGGGCCACTCACAGCTGCTGAGCCCCTCACCTGCTGGCTTCTCAACCAGGAGACAGCCCTTCCCTTTCACAGATTTCTGGGGGGAGGGGAAGGTCCCCCTCCCACCTCCTGAAGAAGGAGAAAAAAAAATCTTAAATGCGGTTTCCCCACCCACTCAAGACCTTGTCATCTCAGAGCAAAGGACCCGTAGAAACCCCCAGGGAGCACCCAGCTCCCCTGAGCAAGCCCTCCCAGAAGCCTGATTCAGAAAACACGACTCTTGCTGGTTGGGTCCCCTACCCCCGCCGCCCTCTCGACGACGACGACGACCACGGCTGTCAATTCTCCCCAAGAACAAACAGAGATGAGAAGGTCCCGGCCAGGCCCCACCGGCCAGGCCCCACCGCCCCACCCACGGGGGAACTTCGGTAATTACACGCTCCTCAGCCAGCAGGCCGCGTGACTCATCCTGGACTCGGGAGAGAGCAGCCTGGTTCAAAATAACCCTCCGGGTTTTAAGCACAAAAGGTATTTCTAGAGGGGCTGCCCACACATCACTCTTACACGGGCACACGTCAGGCGCAGCAAAGCCCCTCCTGAAAAACCCTGCTCCTGTTTGCACAACAACGGAATGCCTAACCGTTCTGTGCTTGCAAGTGGCCAGCCCCCCAGGAGAGAAACACCCACAGAGTCGCCCGAACCACCAGCCCCTCGCCCGCCTCCTTGTGGAAGGAAGAGAGTGCCCCTGTGCGCCACACTCAGGGCTCTGGGCCCAGACAACGCGGGCCGGGGAGTCCCTGCCAGGACGGCTCCAAGGGCCCCGGAGAGAGACCCTGCGTCTCTGTGTCTCGCACGCTGGCTCCCAACGTCTGCTTCTGGTGACCGGGGGGCCTCCCTCGATTGTTTGAGGCTGTTCTGAGATGAAAATAACCTTTCCTTTCTGAGCTGCCCCTTTGATTTCGGCCTCTGTCGAGCAGACGCGACTTCCTGTGTTTGGACAACGCGCCGTGCGCGGTGGCTATTTTGGCCTGGTGGTTTCCCCGCGGCCTCCCTCAGCCCTTTATCTCAAAAGACCATCTTTGGTCTCAGCTCTCCAGCATCCTTTGATGGCAGCCGGCTGGAGGCGCCGCCCCGTCACCGCGTCGGGACTTTCCGAGCGCAGACGACCCAGCGTATCGATTTCTGCAGTGGGCCCCAGCGGGGCTGAGGGGTGGGCTACGATTCAGCTGGGGTGGGGCAGGAGAGACTCTTGGAACTGTGGCCTGACGACCTGAAGGTCGTGCCTGATCTGGCCCGGGGGTCCTCGGCTGCCCGGCTGGCGGGCCCTCACTCAGGGACGCGGACGGGGAGTCAGAGACGTGTCTGAGTCACCGGGGAAGTGCAGGGCACAGTCGGGACGGCGCCCCAGGTCTCCCGAGCTCTCTCCAGGCCGCAGGCTGCATTAGAGCAGCAGGGCCTCTGTGTCACCCCCACAGACCCCTTGAGAGGGGGACGCTGAGTGTCAGACCTGCCAGCCGACTTTCTTCAGCCCCTGGGAGGCCCGGCCCCGCCCTGGAGGCTCACTGCACTACTGGGCTTTCCATTGTCGCGTCCTCCCCGGTGCCTCCGTGTGGGATAGACTGTAACCCTCTGGGCACAGCCCGGGAGCTGAAAGCAGCCCAGGTTGGTTAGACGCGGGAACCGGGCTGGGAGCCTCAGTCACCGGCCAGGCCCCGCCGGCAAGTGCTGGCACACTGTGAACCCTGGCCCCCGTGCCCACGAACCCCGCTCTCGGACTCAGACCTGCGCCTCGTAGCGAAGCCTGTCACCCCTCTCAGCCGCTGGGTCCCACGTGCCCCCCAGACCCACACCCTGCAGACTTTCGGGCCCCTGGTCAGGTGAGCAGACAGCCCTGGGGAGAGAAGAGCGGCCACAGAAGCTTCCAGAGCTTTACTCCGTCCAAATTTGCGCACAAGAATTCCACCCAGAGCCTGTCAAAGGTAACCAGATGTGCCCCGTGAGCCCGATGCCCGGCTGTCCCTGCAGCTGGGGGGGGAGGGGGCCTCAGAAGAGAGCCTGAGAAAAGGGGCGGGCACTTTCGTGGGCTGTGGGGGGCCCGCCTCGCTGCTCTCGTCCCCTGGGCGAGGGTGAGAGGGTCACCCCGACCGCATCACATTATGAGTGGACCCCCAGGGTCCCAAGGACACCCACCTCTGCATCCTCAGCCCTGGCCAGGGCTCCGTTCGTGTTGGTGTCTAAAGTCAAGGGGTTTGGGTTGGTCTTCAGAAAACAAAAGCAAACCCACTGAGTCCTTCCCTCCTCCGGCCCCCACCCACCTCGGGTGGCTGCTGAGCCCGGCTCGCTCTACTTGAAGCAGCCTCACTGCCCCCTGAGCCTCTGGGGAACGGTGCAGGGACACTCCGGGGTGGCCATGATCAGCCTAAGGGACCTGTCACCAGGGACTGTCTCCTGGTAGGGGTGGTGGCAGGACCGGGGCCACCCTGCTCCCAGCCGCTAACCCAGGGTCAGACATGACCGTCCAGATGTCCCCAGGGAACTGCCTAGGCGTCCCCAACTGTTATTGTCCAGCTGTCCCCGGGTGTAACTGTCCAGGCGTCCCCAGCTATCATTGTCCAGGTGTGGCTGACAAGGTGTCCCCAGGTGTGACTGTCCAGGCATCCCCAGGTGCATCCCAGGCTCTGGGGGCCTGGCCCAGGTAGACAGACTCTCACTGGACCCGTCCCAGAGGCAGCACCAGCCCCCGAAGCAGAAGGCCTCATTCCCAGTGCCTGGCTCCGGGGTCTGGCCCCTGGCTGAGGACCCCACGGGACCCCTCCCCATCTCCTCTCGGGCTGCAGTGAAGGTTGGTGCCGAGCCACCCCACATTCCGGGAGCTGCCCAACGGCCACGTGTGCGACGACCGTCCAGACGGAGAAGCCAGGCCTTCGGGCTCCGTGACCCTCTCTGAGTCCCCGTAACTGCCCTGACCCTAAGGGCGGTTGTGACGGGTGTTCCCGTGCTTACGGGTGCCTAGCCCGAGCTTGGCCCACAGTGAGCACTCACAATTGTCGGCCTCCCCCTCCCCCGGAAGCGGCGTCACGGCCGCACGTGGGCACTCGGCACCGCTGTAACCCGTGGGCCAAACTTGCGGGAAAGACTCGCTACAACCCAGGCCTCTGCCCTGCTCGGATCCAGGGGTCAGGAAGCCCGGCCACGAGTGACTGTCTCCCGTTTGCCCCCGGGGTGTGACCTCACTTGCCAGGACCCGCCCCGGCTTCCCCGACAGCGGAGCAAGGACCTACCTGGCCTTGTGAGTTCTGTTCCCGGCCACGGCGGGGAGGCTGGCACTGGCGTTGGGGAACGGGGCCTCGGAGGAGGTGTTAGTCACTCTGTCACTGCTCAGCTCCAGGTAGGACCCATTGAGCAGGTAAGTGCCGGCTCCCTCGCTGTCCTCATAGTCCACGTAGAGGCTGTCAGCCGGGGAGCTCCTCGGGGCGCCCTGCACAAAGATGCTGTTGCCAGTGTCATTGAAGGGGAGCTCCCTGGAGTCGGAGCCGGTGCCCAGGAGCCGGTCGGAGATGGCATTGGCAGAGAGGAGCTGCTGAGAGGGGAGATGCGCGTCCACCTCTGGGTCATCCTTGTCCCCCGCGAGAGCCGTCCCGGTGGCATTGCCGTCTACGAGGGAGACAGGTGGCTCACTCTCAAGTGCTCCCTTGTGTGGGCGCAAGGGCCGCCCGTGGGGGCGGGGTGGGGGGGCCAGTGGGGCTCACAGCAAACACCTGAACCGAGAGGCTCCCGGAGGCAGTGAGAGCACACAGATCACCAAGCGGAGGTGTGCGAGCCGGCCTGCACAGCCTCTCGTAGGGGAACCTGCAGTGGATGAAACAGGGTCCCCCTCGGGGCGCCCGGGGGGCTCTGGCGGTCAAGCGTCGACTCTTGGTTTCGGCTCAGGTCACGAGCTCACGGTTTGTGAGTTTGAGCCCCGTGTCGGGCTCTGTGCCGATGGCGTGGAGCCTGCTTGGGATTCTCTCTCCCTCTCTCTCTCTGCCCCTCCCCTGCTCGCTCTCTATCCTCCCCCCACCCAAATATATAAATAAATTGGGTCCTCCTCAAAATTCGCACCTGCCCTGAACCTCAGAACGTGAGCTTATTTGAAACGGGACCCTCACAAAAGTGGCTAAGGATGTAGACACGGGTCATCACGGATCTAGGGTAGGCCCTGTTTCCAATGGCTGCTGTCCTTAGAAGAAGAGAAGACACACACGCGCAGAGAAGGCGTGTGACCACGGAGGCAGAGGCCGGAGGGACACGGCCCCGAGCGCAGGAGCGCCTGAGGCCTGCAGAAACGGGGAGAGGCGAGAAGGACCGCCCCCACCCCCTGGAGCCTCCAGAGCGAGTGTCGGACCTGCTGACACCTTGGTTTTGGACTTCTGGCCTCCAGAACTGGGAGAGAATGAATTTCTATTTGTCGTGAGCCCCCCGGTTTGGGGTGATTTGTTACAGCTGTCCTGGGGGATTTATACAACCTCGAAAATGTCTTCTACTAGAAGGTTCTCAGGGTCTCAAAAACTGGAGTGCCTGCCCAGGCAGTCCTGGTGACCGGTGCACGGCCCTCAGGAACACGTCCAAACTGCAGGTATGGATCTCGGGGACCCCGATGCACACTTGCATCTCGGGGACCCTGACGCACCCCTGCATCTCGGGGACCCTGACGCACCCCTGCATCTCAGGGACACTGACGCACCTCTGCATCTCAGGGACACTGACGCACCTCTGCATCTCGGGGATGCTGACGCACCCCTGCATCTCGGGACCTGGCACCCTGTATCTCGGGGACCCTGATGCACCCCTGCATCTCGGGGACGCTGACGCACCCCTGCATCTCGGGGACCCTGACGCACCCCTGCATCTCTGGGGACCCTCACGCTCCCCTGCATCTCAGGGACCCTCACGCACCCCTGCATCTCTGGGGACCCTGACACACCCCTGCATCTTGGGACCCTCACACACCCTGTATCTCTGGGGACCTCACGCACCCCTGCATCTCTGGGGACCCTGACACACCCCTGCATCTTGGGACCCTCACACTCTGTATCTCTGGGATCCTCACGCACTTCTGCAACCTTTCCGGGGACCCTCACGGATCCCTACATCTCTGGCCACACCTCCTGCTGCCTCCCTGAAATCTGCCTGCCAGGCTGTCGGCCCTGAGCGGCTCTCTCTCACCCCACCCTCTCCCACAGCCTCACCCAGCTACTCCTCACTGGTTCCCAAACTCAGGTCAGGGGCCACACTCTCTGAGAACTCAGGGTCCGCCCGTGCCCCCTCACTGGCCGGTCGTCCCCCTCCAGAGCTCTTGCCACACTGTGGCGTGCCGTCTGCCTCTACCAAATGAGCAAGCACACGGGCTCTGAGGACAGACTGTCCCGGGTCTGACCCGCAGCTCAACTGTGGATGTGGGAAAGCCCAGCCTCCACCTAAGCCTCAGCCCCCCCCACCCCCCAACATCTGTCAAGTGGGGACACCCGTATCCCCCTGGAAGAACGGATGGAAAGCAGGGCATGTGCGAAGGGGCCCGTGCCGTGCCTGTCCCAGGAGAGCCGCGAGTAGGAGCCTCTCATCGGCCTCGTCTGCCGGCCGCGGGGGCCCAAAGACCCTCTGCCCAAGGCCCCCTCCCTGGGAAGCCCCTGCCTGATCCCGGCCCTCCTGGTTACCTCGGAAGCCCTTGCCTCTGGGGGGTCCCTCGCAGGCCCTGCCGCTGGCCTGCTCGCACACCTCGTTGGTCTCCCGGCCCTTGCTCAGACCCAGCTCGATCCCCGGGCCCAGGTGGCCGAACAGCCGGTTGTCCAGGCCCAGCCGCTCCGAGGAGGCCTGGCCGTAGAAAGAGCTGTTGTGCCGCAGGAAGCCCAGGAGCGCGGCCCCGTCCAGCTCCTGGCTCTCCGCGCTCTCCGAGGCGGGCTCTGAGAAGCTGTAGTAGACGGGCTGTGTGCGGTGGGCATGCGGCGGCTGCAGCAGCGTGTACTCGAAGGTGATGGAGGGGCTCCTGCCGTTCTGGTTCCACACCTGGGGAGGAGGAGAAGCGGGACCTCACCCCTTCCGCACAAGCCGGGAGCGGCTCGGGGCTCGTGGGCCACGAGCCCCCAGAGGAGAGCTGCACTCCGGTCCCGGGCCACCAGAAGCAGCCCCGGCTGCGGCCCACAGCCAAGCCCTTCCCGGGGACGCGCCCTCGACTGAAGGACGGTGCCCCTGCCCGCGCTGGGCTGCTCCCCAAGGGCAGCCGGCCTCCAGAGCCCCGCGAACAGGGGCGCACGCCCAGGGCGGGGCAGAGGGAGCTGTCCACTCGAGGCGTGGGCCGGGAAGGGTGCCCCGAGCACACAGGATGCTCTAAGTAATAAAGCCGACTAAAACCCCATCTGCACTTTATTCCCACCCCGGGTGTAGCTCTGAGAGAAAGTGCCAGTGCACCCCCCAGGGTGGTTCCTGGAAGCTTGGAGAAAGTGAGGCCAGCACTAAGTGGAGAATAAAGGCATAGCAGGTAGTGGGAGTGTGGGAGCGGAGGGAAAGGCTGGAAAATTCGCCAGGTGACCGTTTCCTGCAGGAGCCCCCTGCAGGACATCCTGTTCACCGGCGTGAAAAGAAATTGGCCAGCGAGAAGGCACTGACTTCACTTCGAGGGACACCGTTGAGTGACCGCAGCCCAGGGCGGATGCCAGGAGATGCTGTGATAGAACCAGACTCCCCACGATCATCAGAATAAGGGAGGCCGACGTGGTGGCCGGGAGCCCTGACCCACAGAGACGTCTGCACACGGCGGATAGGACAAAGGACTCCCGGACAAATAAGTGGGACCAGAAAAGGGGCTTCTCAACATGTAAGATCAGAACTTATCAAGGGTGGATATTCAGGGGGCGGAGGACAGCTGCCCCAGAAAAGTCACAGCCCTATCCCATTTCCTGGGCCAGCGTTTGGACCCAGAATCCACTGAATGATGGAACGGCCAGGTCCCCAGGACAAAGGACCCCCCACAAGCGTATATGGTAATGATTCTCCCAGTTCTTCCCCCAAAGAGCCTACAGCCGTTGACTTGGTTAACTGTGTGCTGGAGAAACGGACAGACATTTGGGAACCAGGGTCCAAGTTGTCATTGTTTATCAGGGACCCAAAGCATCATCATCGCCCCCTGTTAGCATGAGAGCTTGTGGGTGACAAACAAGTGTGGCCCAGGTCTGGCTCACAGTGCGCCCAGCGTGGCTCACCTTGGGTCCAAGGCTTACCCAGTTCCCAAGTCCATTGCTGGTAGTCGGGTCCTTAGCCTGTAGGGTATGCACTACCATCGCAGGGAAAGCTCAGCGGAAGCCCGTGACCCCAACCCCTGACCCCCATGCCCATGCGCATCCAAGAGAGTAAATCCAAAACAGGATCGCATCCCGGGGAAACTACAGAGATCAGAGCCACTCCTAATGTTGCCGGAGGATGCGAGGTGGTGGTCCCCGTGTGCCCCGCTTCACTCAACGGTTTGGCGCCCATGAAAACAAGACAGATCCGGGAGGATGACGGGGAGCCCTTCCAAACCCAGCCAAGCGGGAGCCTCAGATGCAGCTCCCGGAGCAGATTAACATGACCTCAAGTCGATCACCTGTGGCCACCAACGTGGCAACCACCTTCTCTTCCACCCCCGTGGGGAGGAGGAAGTGGTGTTCGCTCATCTGGAACGGACAAGAGTATACACGTGCGGGTTTGTACCCAGGGCCGTGCTAACTGCCCCATTCCTCGACGTCATACAGTACAGGGGGGTCTGGACCGTTCTACAGAACATCACACGGGCCCTCTACGTTGGTGACATCATGTCTACCAGGCCAGCTGAACAGGAAGTGATGCGGGAGGCCTTGGAAAGCCTACGGATTCCAGAAGACCTTACACTGAGCCCTGGGGAGATCCAGTGCCCCACCCCCATCGGCGAACGCTTCAGGGTCAGTGGCCTAGGGCATGCCAGGACATGCCCTTGAAAGCAGAGGGCAGAGGATCGCATCGCGTTCCCTCCCTTATGAAGAAGAATTCTGGACATAGCATGGCACGTATCCGGAAATGTGGATCCAATCCACATACCGGGTAAAAGCTGCCACCTTTCAGTGGGGGTCCTGCGGAGAAGGGGCTCTACAGTCGGTCCAGGCTGCGGGACAAACGGCCTGCCACTTGGGCCATAACACCCAGCTGGTTCTATCGTGGCGGGGAACGATGTCACACGGGGTTCCTGGCAAGCCTTGATAGGAAGAGGATCACGCAGTCCTCCAGCGTTCTGGAGCAAAGCCATGCCACCCACGACAAATATCACATCATTTCGAAAAGAGCTTGTGACATGCTACCAGGCCCTATAGAGACGGAACCCTTTGACCACGGGACATCGAGTGACTCACGCAGCCAGAGCCGAACTCCACCGAGTGACACAGCCGGGAGTTACGCAGCCACCCGTCGTAAGATGGAAATGTCACATCCAGGATTAGGCACCATCAGAGCAGAGGACAAGACCGCCGGCTCGGCAGGTGACTGAGACTCTCATCACCCGAGGCCCCTGCCCTGACATCTCTCAGCTCACAACGACAGGTGCACGGGGTACCGTTAGGGTGAAGTCTGAGAGGAGAGAAAGGGCCAAACTTGATTCAGAGACAGGTCGGCTTGGCACGGGGCGGGGGAGGGCGGTACGAGCAGAAAATGGGATCTGTTTCACTGGAGCCCCGTTCAGGGGTGGCTTCAAAAACACTGCACTGAGGGAAACTCCTCCCGGGGGGCTCTACGGGGCGCGTGTGGGATCGTCTAATCTGTAGGAAAAGCACAGCAGCCCGAGGGGAGAATACACACTGCCTCGTGGGCAATGTACATGGCTTGGGTGGCGGCTCAGGATCCTGGGTGGAAAGGGCTTTGAGAGGGGGCGAGGAGGTCTGGAAGAGACACGTGGGGATGGGTCCACGCCATAGGCAGAAGATGGGAGTCGCCGTGTCCCTCGTTAATGCGCCCCTGGGAGCATCCCCCCATGGGAGGGACACCGGACACCAGGTTATAGGTGAAATGGCCTTGCCAGGTGACACAGGCCAGCCTCTGCCATCAGTCCCCCCACTGATGGCACCACAGGTGCGTGACGGGGATAGCCACGGTGGCAAGGATGGGCACCATGCGTGGCCCCAAGGGCAAGGGCGGTCACTCACCAAGCCCCCCAGCACCGACAGAGACTGACATGCGGCACCGTGCCTCGAGGGGCCGTCAGCTCTTTGACGGCCAGCGGGCTACGTTAGACGCCCTTCTGTCCTAGCAGGGAAGTGACCGCGAGGTTGCCTTTCCTGACCACAGCGCCTCCGGCCCCCAAACCCAAGGGCTCCCAGAGCATTTGATCCGCTGAGGCAGGATGGCACGTGACACCGCATCGGACAAAGGGACCCATGTCACAGCAAAGGAGGTGCCTCGGCAGGCACCTGACCGTCAGATGCACAGGCTGCGTCACCCAGACGCTGCGGCCTGATGCGACCGTGCACGCTGAGGCCACGGTGCCACGTAGAGAGGGCAAGACCCTGCGAGGATGAGGGGCCGGGGTGCCCTCCATGACGCAGTATACAAGGAATCGCCCCGACACGGTGGACACGCGTCCCCACCGGGCAGACAGCGTGGGCCCGGGAAGCACAAAATGGAAGTCACCTCTGCAATCGTTCCCAGTGACCCAGTGGGCATTTGGGGTTTCTAGTCCCTGCGGCTTAGGGTCTGCAGGTCTACAGGTCCTGATGCAGGGAAACACTTCCACAAACGGGAAGCTGTGACCGTCACCTGGGCCATCTGGCACCCTGTGCGCAGAGAGCAGCCGGAGAGGAGTGGCCGCCCCAGCAGGGGGATTGACCCTGACCACCAAGGCCGGGTCGGGATGCTTCAACCCTAGGGGCAGAGAATATATCTGGTTCCCTGCTGCCCCACTGGGGCTCCTCCTGGTATCGCCCTGCCCGTGGCAACGGGACAAGGGCAGGGATGGAAAAGGGCCCCGAAACCAGGAGCCCAGACCCCTCGGGTAGGAGGGACAGGGACACCTGGCCAGGTGAGCCACCTAGACTAGCAGAGGAGAATGCAGAGTGGGTAGTGCAGGAGGCAAGTGATGTGATTGGCTGGCAGCCCAGGCTAGCTGCCGGTCACCTCGCCAGCCTTCCCGGGGAGGAAGCCAGCCAGAATTCTAGAGGAGTCCTTCCTGCCAAGCATTCCACCCAGCAAATGGGTACCAGCGGGCACAGCGGCGAGCCCCCGGGCCCCACCCTTCAGTGAGCTGCCTGGAGTGTGCTGGGGACAGTTCATAGCGAGCCCTGCCCCCAGGAACATCCCTCGGCCAAAGAGAGCCGCCTCTCCCGAGGCCACGCCCATCCCCGTGGCTTCCAGCAACTGGGCCACGCCTCTCCGCCTCACGTCCAGGGGACTCGAGGGGCCACTGCGACCCCAGAGCCCCCGCTGGGATCAACTGAGGCTCTGACCACACCGGCAGCACGGCTCAACATCTCCCTCTGTCCAGGCCTGTCCCCCTCACCCCCTCACGGCCACTGCTCCTGTCACCACACCCTAAACCCCGCCGCTCACAGACCCTTCCTGGGATCCTGACCTGCAACACAGCTCCTGCGGGCAGGCAGGGAAGCCAGGCAGCCGGCCGGCCTGCCTCAGGGGTAGCTCCAGGGGCAGGCGAAGAAATACGTGGCCCCCATTAGATTCTGGGGCCATCCAGGGACGCTCTGCAGCCAGGAAGCAGTGTGGGGAGGTGGCGGGGGGGGGGGGGCACCGCGATTGGAGACCCCTCTGGCAGGGCACTTAGACACACAACCGGCTCCAGCACCAGGCCGACCCGGGCCCCAAGGCCGGCCGCACCACCAACAGGTCCGTGATGGCAAGTCAGTAATCTCTGTGTGCCCAGGTTTCTTGTCTACAAAGTGAGGATCTAAACACCCACCACGGTGGGATCCAGAAATCATGCCAGGTCGGGCGGGTAGGCTCTGGCCCCGCCGTACCCCTCAGCTTCCACGAACACCCGCAGACCTTGAAAAACACCAGAACTGCCCACCTGGGCGTCACCTGTTTCCAGGGACGAGTCCTTGTACATTTCCTCGACGCCGGGCCACCAAGCAACGACACTTGTTTCTAGACGCTAGCCATGGGAACGCTCCCAGGGAGCTGAGCAGAGCAGGTCCAAACTCTCCCGCCCTCTCCTCGCCCCTGTGCTGTGCCCCCAGAAACCGTGAGCATCCGGGGAGGTAGCGGGGGGGGGTGGGCCACAGGCACTGCCTGGGCCCCCCAGCACTGAGGACCTGGCAGAGAGGCCACAGTGCCGATGCGGCCGGGGCAGGGAAGTACGCGGGGGGGTACCAACCCCCAACTATGGAGTGGGGGAGGGAGCCTGCGTCCCCGTCTACTTCCTGTCCTTAGCAACCCCGCAGATCGTGATGACTGCAGTCCACCGGGGCGCTAACGGCCGTGGCAAGTGAATGAATGAATGAGTGAATGAATAAATGGTTACTTGGGTGAGGGCTGAGACAGTGGGTGGCTGGGTGAGCGAGGGGACGGGCAAACGAAGCAACGCATTAATGAGCAGATAGAGGCTAAGGACAGGAATCAAACCCCGAGCGGATGGGTGCCCAAGGAGTGACGGAGCACGACCCTCGCCACGCCGGGCGGGGACGCTGCCTCGTGCACACACACCCTGGGGCCACGGCACGGCGTTGGCGGCCCGAAGCCCGCGGCTCACGCACCATGACGTTCAGGCCCTGGTTGGTGGGCCCCTGTGCCACTATGTACTCGATGCCGGTCTCGTAGACGTCCATGGGCCGCCGGTATTTGACCACGGTGCCCGCGATGTTGAAGTTCTTGGGGCTGTCCACCTTGAAGTTGCCATTGAAGAAGTAGAAGCCGGCTTCATCCGCGAGAGCTAAAGGAGCACAGGGCAGAGCCACCTGGTCACATGAGCTGGACAGCTGGACGAGCCACAGGGAGGACGGGGCGGCGGGCGGGGGGGGGGACAGGGAGTGGC